TTGTTGAATCAAACAAAGTTTAATTTTGGATCCTGATTTGGACCAACTTGAAAACTAGACCCAAAAATCTAATATCTAAATACAGGTTTAGATTCAGCATTTGAAAGAACCCTATATATATATTTAATTTATGTTGAAATGAAACACAGGTTAATTTTATCCATAATATTTTCTGTGCAAAGGGAAGTAACTCAAACTTGATAAAATTTTTCTAAAATAAGATATGATGCAATTTTTTAAATTATAATCAATAATATAATAACAACAACCAGTGATGACTTAGTTCTCTAAAATTAGATATGATTTAACACTCAAACATTGTTAGAATCAGCATATCAAAGAACCAAAGAATTCAATGTTTGATGAAATTAAATAAAAGTTTAATTTAGGACCCTTTGGACCTCAGTGTGGTATTATCTTATTAATAATGAACAGAAATACAGGTTTAGATTAAGCATTTCAAAGAACCCTATATTTATTCAATTTATGTTGAAATCAAACACAGTTTAATTTTGGACCCCGATTTGGACCAACTTGAAAACTGGGCCCAAAATCAGAAATCCAAATATATGTTTATTACAGTACAACCTGTGACTTCCTCTTAGTTATGTCCACCCTCTTGTATGGTCACCATCGAATGGTGGCCATTTGTTGGGGTATTCAATCTTGAAATGTTGGCCATTTATTGGGGTCATAAAACATAGGTTGATGTTTTATCTAATCATGTTATCTGTTGAAATCAATCAGGGTTGAAGTTTTCAGCTTGTATGTTTCATTAAAATTTACCTGTACAGGTAACTCAGGTTTCTTCTCAAATTGACATTTCACCTTTTCTTGAAAATGTAGATTAGAATGTTGTTTTAGTCTTTGTTAATTCATATCAATTGTTGATTTTTCTGTCTTTAAATTTACATATTTTCCTTTCTTTCTAATGTTTTTATTTTTTTATGTTATTTTTTATTTGTTTTTTTGCTTCTATTCTTTTAATTTCTTCTAGGAAATAATCTTGAGTAGAAATGACAAAAATTCAAAGATGAGTTATTGACTAGCATTTGAAAACAAAACAGAGAATCCTTTAAATAATATTTTTTTCGGTAAAAAAAAGTTATTGTACATGATGTACATGGTATTCAATGTCTGCGTGTATTATTTAATGAATTATTATTAATTATAACTTATAATCATGCAAATGATATGTTTAAAGGAACCATAAAGCAAGTAATTTAACAAGCCTGTTTTTTAACAAATTAAAATTATCAATATCATGAATATCAAGCCTTTTACAATAAATTTTGTTAACAAAGTTGTACAATCTATTATCATGATTATTATTCAGGAAAACTACAAATATCATTATATGGTATAGGAATAAACTATTTTTGTTTATCTTTTATATTTTTCAAATCTCAAAACTGGAGTTGTGCATGAAGAATCACTAAAGAGACTTTAATTTTCCAAATGGCTACCTAGTTATCATCAACTTTGATAAATGCCAATCATAATGAAAAATGTTCTTATCTCTGAATTAAATAAATCTTATGAAAAGAAATTATTTAAAGAAAAAATTGTCTTGCTTTTTGAAACAATTGTAAACTTATCAAATATGTTATCTTCAGTTTGTCTATTTTTGTCAGTTAACAGGCAAAATTTGTCTCCAGAAAAAATAAAGAACACTTCTATATAGATTGTGACATTTTTATGGTCTATTAATTAAATCCTTTTTTGTTCTGTGTATTATAGTGTCAAAACTGCAAGACTGGCATATGCATGATACATATTCTTGGTATACATCTGCAAAGAATATTTCACTCAACTCAGGCCTTTTAGATAAAGCTAATAATTGCAGGGACTTAAATGAATTAGATTCTTTAAAGCTCTTGATTAAAAATGAATTTTAAGAACAAAAATAAGAATATTTTGAAAATAAAATAAAAACTTCTGATGAAAACAGTAAACTCAAATGCTTCAAGAATTAGTGGTCATAATTTAGAAATAGAAAATGGTAGATAAAAATTCCTATAAAGGATAGAATTGTTTGTAAAATTAACATAACAACTTAGAGATAATCTATTTGAAAATTGTTTACCTTCTCATAATAATGTCTCTGACCAGTTTGTGAATAAAATCTTGAATCTTATGAATAAAATCTTAACCAAAAACAAAAAGTAAAAGAAATGCTAAACCTCTATAACATGGAACATGTTTAAAATATTGGCTCCTTTATAAAAAAAAATAAAAATCATTAGAACTGAGGGCAGAAACCTAATAATTTTTTTCCATGTGTTTTGATTTTTATAGAATTGTTATTTCTTTGCATTATAATGTTTGTTTTTGTTTTTTTTCGTCAGAAACTTGATTAAATTGTAATATGTTTATATGACAATAAAAATATTATCAAATTTTTCTGTAATGAATATTTTGAATATACATGTATTTATTCAATAGAGAAATAATGAATTGCCTAAATTTTATTTAGAATAAGTCCTAAAAACAATGTTAAATGCAGTTAGTATAAACAATTTTGATTTTAGAAAATTAATCAGAGAAACACCTTTTTGATGGAAAAAAGCAGGCGTTGTGAAAGTTTGCATTATAGTAGAAGATGATATTCATTTATTATTCACTTGCCTAAATATACATGTAAAAAATAACTTAAATTGATAGAATTATTTAAAAGGTATAACATCAAAACAAACAGTCATGAGAAAATGTTTACAAAAGTTAGGAAGCTATATGTTCAACTAGTTTTATTATTTCATTTTATTTTAGAATTTTCTTGTCATAATCACAGTTATTAAATTTGACAAACACATATATTTTACCTGAGACACTTTACCTGTAAGTTATATAATTTTAACACTTCAATGCAGTCATGATTTCCCTTTATACTTGACTAGTTCTTGATAAATACCTTGTGTATTAATTAAGCAACAGGAGGTATAATGATGGACATTTAGGGCCATCATGGTGACCATATTTTTTATGGCCACCATTAGTAAGATAATGTCACAGGTAGTACTGTAATAAACAATATAAGCTTAGTTTTTAAAGGAGTTCACTTCATCAAAAAAAATATATAGCATTCAGAAAATTAGTTTTTACAGAATAACAAACAAACTTGCCACAAAATTCTTCAAACAATTTATCAAAGAAAAGAAGGAAAAAATCCAAAATCTTATTTATCATTCATACAATGTCTTTTCAAAATCTATAAAACTTATCAGTAACAAGAAATAATTGTAACAGGATGCTGTTACGAAGTCTCCCAAACAAAGCTCCAATAATTCGTCATTCCCATGATCGCCTGACATTGGGCAAAGTCCAGTACAAATTGGTTTGTGATATGCATAAGTGACGCCTATGGGTTGACCCTGTATGTCATTCAAATCTTCTTGAAATGACGAACAGGAATATATATGGTTGTTAAGGGTTGGAGATCTAGACCGTTTACAAGTTCTCAAAAGGGGGGTGTGTGATCCCCAGAGGACTCACCCTTTATTTCATATGATTTGTTTTTTTGTCACATACAAGAATATATATGGTTTAGGGGTGGGGATCTCAACCGTTTACAAGTTCTTAAACAGGAGGGGGTGGGGTGACCCCAGGGGACTCGCCTTTTATTTCATTTGATTTGTTTTATTGTCCCATACAAGAATATATATGGTTTCGGGGTGGGGATCTTGACCGTTTACAAGTTTTTAAAAAGAAGGGAGTGGGGGTCACCCCAGGGGATTTCCCCTAAATTTCATTTGATTTGTTTATTTGTCCCATAGAATATATATGGTTTGGGGGTGGGGATCTCGACCGTTTACAAGTTTTCAATAAAATGCTTCGCTGAGCGCAGCTGGATACAACCGCAGAGGTCCAACCCTGAACAGTTGGGGCAAAAATGGACAAAATATTCGTGCTCGATACAGGTCTGAATTTGGATTGTAATTAAATATTTGACACATACTAGGTTTCTGACACAGAATAAGTGTAGTCAAAGAACTTAAAATTGGTTATATGATTTGAATTTATATTCAATTTCTTGCTTTTGTGCAATACACTATGCTGTTGAATATTAACCCCCCCCCCCCTAAAAAAAAAAAATTTTCTGAAATCTGAAATGAGAAAAATTGTACCCCCCCCCCCCCCCCCCCCCCAAATTCTTATTTACCCCCCCCCCCCCCCTCCCCTCCAAAATTTTTTTCAACTCACCCTTTCCCTTATTCTAAAAATAATCTCAATTCAAATTTCCAATGGAATTTGCAACCATAATTACCCATTTAAATTTACCATAGTGCTAACTTAATCTATTTAATAATAGAATTTAAAATATGGTGTCAAATCTTTCATATGGATTTTTTGGTAAAAATAAAAAGATGCAACATTTGCAGATATTTTTACTGGTCTTCCTTTATAAATATGCATTTCTTTAAACATAATTTAAAAGCAGTGTAAGGGAAGTAATCAAAACGTTGTATGTGGATTACCTCCCTATATCCAAGGGCGCAGCTTGATACGACCGCAGAGGTCCAACCCTGAACAGTTGGGGCAAGTATGGACACAACATTCAAGCTTGATACAGCACTGCATTTGGATTGTGATTAAATATTTAACCTAGCATAGGTTTCTGACACAGAATGAATGTGGTCTAAGAACTTAAAGATTTTTAATTTACCTTTTCAAACCATATCATAATTATTTGCTTTTATATATAAATCAGAAATACCCAATTTAAAATGGAAAATTTTAAAGAAAAAAAAAATCCCCACCGCCAATTTTTTGAACCCCCTTATGATTCATCACCCCCAATCTCAATCCCAAGCCTTCCCTTTGTGGTATGGTACCTTGCAGTACAATTTCAGAGAGATCCATACACTTGAACACAAGTTATTGTCTGGAAACTAGAAAAATGCTTGTTTTTTGCCCCCAAATTCCTAAACGTTTAGGGCAATTACATTACCCCCAAACTCAAACCCAGCTTTCCCTTTGTGATATTGAACCTTGTCGTACAATTTCATAAAGATCCATACACTTACACCCTAGTTATTGTCCTGAAACTAGAAAAATGCTTGTTGTTTTGCCCCTTTTTGGCCCCTAATTCCTAAAATTTTGAGGCAATTACCCCCAAAATCAATCCCAGCCTTCCCTTTGTTGTATGGTACCTTGCAGTACAATTTCAGAGAGATCCATACACTTGAACACAAGTTATTGTCTGGAAACTAGAATAAAATGCTCCGCTGGGGCGCAGCTTGATACGACCGCAGAGGTCGAACCCTGAACAGTTGGGGCAAGTATGGACACAACATTCAAGCTTGATACAGCACTGAATTTGGATTGTAATTAAATATTTGACACAGCATAGGTTTCTGACACAGATCGAATGTGGTCTAAGAACTTAAGAAATTTTAATTTACCCATTCAAACCATATCATTATTATTTGCTTTTATTTTTATATATAAATCAGAAATAACCAATTTAAAATGGAAAATTTTAAAGAAAAACTAGAGGCTCTCAAGAGCCTGTGTCGCTCACCTATATTTACTGATGCTTTGGAAATCATGTAAAATAAGGTTAAAATCATAATTAATAGTATTAGATATTAGATATTATAATGATATCTAAGATAACAAAAAACTGCAAAACAAACTCAGGGGCTGCAACCCAACAACGGGTTGTCGGATTCGTCTGAAAATTTCAGGGCAGATAAATCTAAATCTGATGAACATTTTTGCCACCTGTCAGATTTGCTCTAAATGCTTTAGTTTCAGAGATAAAAACCAAAAACTGCATTTTACCCCTATGTTCTACTTTTAACCAAGTCGGCCATGATGGTTGGAAGGCGGGGTCATCAGACAAATTTTTTAAACTAGATACCCTTATAATGATTATGGCCAAGTACGGTTAAATTTGTCTCAGTAGTTTCAGAGAAGAAGATTTTTGTAAAAGATTACAAAAATTTACGAAAAATTGTTAAAAATTGACTATTAAGGGCAATAACTCCTAAAGGGATCGACTGACAATTTTGGTCATGACGACTTATTTGTACATATTACTTTGCTGAACATTATTGCTGTTTACAGTTTATCTCTATCTATTATAATATTCAAGATAATAACCAAAAACTGCAAAATTTCCTTAAAATTACCAATTCAGGGGCAGCAACCCACAAACAGGTTGTCAGATTTGTCTGAAAATTTCAGGGCAGATAGATCTTGACCTGATAATCAGTTTTACCCTATGTCAGATTTACTCTAAATGCTTTGGTTTCAGAGATATAATCCAAAATCTACATTTTACTCCTATGTTCTATTTTTAGCCATGGCGGCCATCTTGGTTGGTTGGCGGGGTCATCGGATACATTTTTTAAACTATATACCCTAATGATGATTGTGGCCAAGTTTGGTTAAATTTGGCCTATTGGTTTCAGAGGAGAAGATTTTTGTAAAATGCTAACGATGACAGACGACGACGACGACGACGGACGAAGGACGACGGACGCCAAGTGATGAGAAAAGCTCACTTGGCCCTTTGGGCCAGGTGAGCTAAAAAAGGAAACCCCCCCCCTAAATTTTTAAAGCCCCTTATGATTCCTCACACCCAAACTCAATCCCAGCCTTACCTTTGTGGTATGGTACCTTGCAGTACAATTTCAGAGAGATTCATACACTTGAACACAAGTTATTGTCTGGAAACTAGAAAAATGCTTGTTTTTTGGCCCCAAATTCCTAAACGTTTAGGGCAATTACTCCCAAACTCAAACCCAGCTTACCCTTTGTAATATGATACCTTGCAGTACAATTTCATAAAGATCCATACACTTACACACAAGTTATTGTCCTGAAACTAGAAAAATGCTTGTTTTTTTTGCCCTTTTATGGCCCCTAATTCCTAAAATTTTGAGGGAATTACCCCCAAAATCAATCCCAGCCTTCCTTTTTTGGTATGGTACCTTGCAGTACAATTTCAGAAAGATCCATACACTTGAACACAAGTAATTGTCTGGAAACTAGAAAAATGCTTATTTTTGGCCCCTTTTTGGCCCCTTATTCCTAAACGTTTTGGGCAATTACCCCCCAAACTCAATTCCAGCTTTCCCTTTGTGATATGGAACCTTGTAGTACAATTTCATAAAGATCCATACACTTGAACACAAGTTATTGTCATGAAACTAGAAAAATGCTTGTTTTTTGCCCCTTTTTGGCCCCTTATTCCTAAAATTTGGAGGCAATTGCCCCCAAAATCAATCCCAGCATTCCCTTTGTGATATGGAACCTTGTGGTACAATGTCAGAGATATCCATACACTTACACACAAGTTATTATCATGAAACTAGAAAAATGCTTGTTTTTTGCCCCTTTTTGGCCCCTAATTCCTAAAATTTGGAGGCAATTACCCCCAAAATCAATCCCAGCATTTCCTTTGTGATATGGAACCTTGTGGTACAATGTCAGAGAGATCCATAAACTAACACACAAGTTATGTCTGGAAGTTACAAAAATGCTTATTTTTGGCCCCTAATTCCTTAACTGTTGGTACCATAACCCCTAAAATCAATCCCCACCTTCCTTTTGTGGTATTGGACCTTATGGTAAAATTTCATAGAGATCCATTCACTTAAACTAAAGTTAGAGTGCGAAAACCAATGTGTCTTCGGACGACGACGACGCCAACATCATACCAATATACGACCTCAAAATTCTTTTGCAGTCGTATAAAAATGCTTATTTTTGGCCCCTTATTCCTTAACGTTTTGGGCAATTACCCCCAAACTCAATTCCAGCTTTTCCTTTGTGATATGGAACCTTGTAGTACAATTTCATAAAGATCCATACACTTGAACACAAGTTATTGTCATGAAACTAGAAAAATGCTTGTTTTTTGCCCCTTTTTGGCCCCTTATTCCTAAAATTTGAAGGCAATTGCCCCCAAAATCAATCCCAGCATTCCCTTAGTGATATGGAACCTTGTGGTACAATGTCAGAGAGATCCATACACTTACACACAAGTTATTATCATGAAACTAGAAAAATGCTTGTTTTTTGCCCCTTTTTGGCCCCTAATTCCTAAAATTTGGAGGCAATTACCCCCAAAATCAACCCAAGCATTCCCTTTGAGATATGGAACCTTGTGGTACAATGTCAGAGAGATCCATACACTAACACACAAGTTGAGTCTGGAAGTTACAAAAATGCTTATTTTTGGCCCCTAATTCCTTAACTGTTGGTACCATAACCCCCAAAATCAATCCCAAACCTTCCTTTTGTGGTATTGAACCTTATGGTAAAATTTCATAGCGATCCATTCACTTAAACTTAAGTTAAAGTGCGAAAACCAATGTGTGACTGTCTTCGGACAACAACGACGACAAAGTCACACCAATATACGACAGCAAAATTTTTTTGCAGTCGTTTAAAAATTCAGCAGTTTTTCCGCTTGTGAGGAGCATAACTCTAGAACAGTAAAATTGACGCCAACAAATGTCACACTGGACCTGAGTTTTGTGGTAATAAGCATTAAGTTTCATAACATTTGTTTGAGGCAAACTAAAGTAAGGGAACAGAAAATACAGCAATTTTTCCATTTGTAAAGGGACACAACTCAAGAACAGTAAAAGTGACAATATCCAAATTCAACTTTAATCAGTGTTTGGGTTAATAAGCTTTGTGTATAAGTCAGACTTGGGGTCAATTACATTGAAATGTAATTAATTAAATTACACATTCCATTGCAAAAATGATCAATTACACTAGTTAATAAAAATTACACAGTTTTTCTAGTTTCATGACAATAACTTGTGTTCAAGTGTATGGATCTTTAAGAAATTGTACAAGGTTCCATATCACAAAGGAAAAGCTGGAATTGAGTTTGGGGGTAATTGCCCAAAACGTTTAGGAATAACGGGCCAAAAAGGGGCCAAAAATAAGCATTTTATACGACCGCAAAAACATTTTGAGGTCGTATATTGGTATGACGTTGGCGTCGTCGTTGTCCGAAGACACATTGGTTTTCGCACTCTAACTTTAGTTTAAGTGAATGGATCTCTATGAAATTTTACCATAAGGTTCAATACCACAAAAGGAAGGTGGGGATTGATTTTGGGGGTTATGGTACCAACAGTTAAGGAATTAGAGGCCAAAAAGGGGCCAAAATAAGCATTTTTGTAACTTCCAGACATAACTTGTGTGTTAGTGTATGGATCTCTCTGACATTGTACCACAAGGTTCCATATCACAAAGGGAATGCTGGGATTGATTTTTGTGGTAATTGCCTCCAAATTTTAGGAATTAGGGGCCAAAAAGGGGCAAAAAACAAGCATTTTTCTAACTAAAGTAATTGATTAAATTACACATTACATTTCATCATAACTTTTTTTAAACAATATATAGCATGTGTAAAATATTCATGTATGCTTACAGCATAGTTTTAGCATTGCATTTGATCATCATTAGTATTTTTAATGTCTTCTATCATCACATCTTATGATCTAGCAATACCTGCCACATCAGCTCCTGTCGAAACAAAGTGTTCAGACAGGAGCTGATGTGGCAGGTATTGCTATATCATAAGATGTGTTGATAGAAGAGGGAATGTGTTCCTATTAACTTCCCAATACATTAAGGGGTATTTTGAAAACTCAGAAATGAAGCCATTTAATTAAACATAATATAAATAAATAAATTATAAATAAATTAAAAAATTGTCCATGTTTTTTACTTTACAATTATCATGATTATTCAAAAGTATGCTTGTCACTAGATTGAAAATAATTTTTTAGCACAAACAATGTATAATGTCTCAATATTAGCAATATTTTGCTAATTAGATAAAATACATGTATTGGTGGCATTGTCCCTAGGCTGTTTTATTACACATTTAGTCTGATTAATTGCCATTTGTTTTTACAGCTGATAATTTTAATTCTATAATCCTTTTGTGTATACTAATTTGACAAAATGATTGTGTGCAGTGATTTAAAATTCTAAATGAACTGTCTAAGAAAGATATATACATTTGTTTAACAATACATACATGTACATGTGTATTTTGATCATATGAATATATACATGTTATCAATCTATTTAGATAAAGATCTTTCTTAAAAACTGAACAACACCAATATATGATTCTCACATTTTTTTAAGTTATAAGACTATTTAGAAAACATTTCTGTATGTCAAATAAATAATATTTATATTAACACAATTTCTTATCATTAACATGATTAACACCATAAAAGTACATGTAATTGAAATGTAATTCAAAAGTAATTTAGCATTACATGCTTTCTTCATTGTAATTAATTAAATTACCATTACATGTAATTGAAAAAATGCTCAATTACACATTACATTCAAAGACATGGAAAATTGTAATGCATTACACTTGATAACAATTTATACATTTTCAATTACCCCATCCCTGGTACAAGTTACATCACATTTGGTTGAGGCAAACTTAATTAAGAAAACGGAAACAAAAAATTCAACAATTTTTCCATTTGTAAAGGGGCATAACTCTAGAATGGTAACAGTGATGCCAACAAAAATTCAAACTTGATCTTTTTTATTGTTGTAATATTAGCATTGTGTATAAGTTTCATAACATTTGATTTGGTTGTTTTCTAGTTTTGTCATTTAGGCTTATTATATAAGTCTTTTGTGTGTTTATCTTTGAACTATGACATACAAAATGTCAACTCGGAAATATAAAATGTAAAATTGATAAAATTCTTGAGGGAGCTTACATCAACAGATATAAACAATACACCAAAGTTTCATTAGAACTGCTGAAAGCATTTTTGAGTTATTGTCCGATAACTGGAAAATCCACCTTTTTTATTAACAATAAACTGTTATCACAGAGATATGTCTCGCTTTTTCATAATTTTGATTATGCAAATATTGACATTAAAATAACAATACTTAACATTTTACATAAGTTAGGCAAACATTCAAAGTCAACGAACCATGACTGAGGTACATGGCTAAACAATCTCCATGTAAATGAGATGTGCCATTGCTTATACAACTGCATACCAAATATCATTGACTTATTATAAGTCGTTCCCTTTAAACAAACCTTAACAAAAACAGAAACTTGTAAACTATGCAAAAGTTTCAAAGTCAATGAACCATGAAGAGAGGGTGGAGCTATAAAATCTCCATGGAAACGATACTTAAAAATGCCAATAAATTTGCATACCAAATATCATTGACTTAACATTAGCAGTTCATCTTAAACTGATCAAATCACAAACTAATACATGTAAACTAAGCAAAAGTTTCAAGTCGATAGACCATGAGTCCATGACTGAGGGGAAGGGGCCAAATATTCTCCATGGAAATGAAATGTGCTAATACTTATACAACTGAATACCAATTAAAATTGGCCTACCACTAATAGTTCCCCTTTAACTGACCTAATCACAAGCTAATACATGTTAACTAAGCAAAATTTTCAAGTCGATAGACCATGAGTCCATGACTGAGGGGAAGGGGCCAAATATTCTCCATGGAAATGAAATGTGCTAATACTTATACAACTGAATACCAATTAACATTGGCCTACCACTAATAGTTCCCCTTTAACTGACCTAATCACAAACTAATACATGTTAACTAAGCAAAATTTTCAAAGTCAATAGACCATGACCAAGGGGCGGAGTCAAATAATCTCCATGGAAATGAGATATGCCAATGCTTATACAACTGCATACCAAATATCATTGACCTACCACTAGTGGTTCCCCATAAACTGACCTAATCACAAACTAATACATGTAAAATAAGCAAAAGCTTCAAAGTCAATAGACCATGACTGAGTGGGCAGGGCCAAATAATCTCCATGGAAATGAGATGTGCCAATGCTTATACTGTGAACTGCATACCAAATATGATTGACCTTCAACTTGTGGTTCCCCACAAACTAGACCTAATCACAAACTAATACATTGTTGACACCGCCGCCGCCGACTCCGGAAACAGCATACCTATGTCTCGCTTTTCGACTCCGCCAAGCGAGACAATAAAACCCTGTAACTTGGAAACGTAAAATCTAAAATTTTTAAAAAATCGAAAGGGAGCTCATGTCAATAGATATAAACAACTCACCAAAATTTCTTGCAAGTTGGTGAAAGCATTCTTGAGTTATTATCAGAAAACTGGAAAATCCCCCTTTTTTTAATGAATAAAACCGATAACTCGGAAAATTAAAATCTAAAATTTATAAAAAACGAAAGGAAACTCACGTCAATAGATATAAACAATTCACCAAAGTTTTATGCAAATTTATTAAAGTGTTTTTGAGTTAATGTCAGACATGTTGACGAAGGTCGGACGGACAGAGGTATACCATAATAGTAATACGTCCCGTAAAATCCAGATTCAAAATACCTGGTTAAATTCAGCATATTAAAGACCACCAGAATACAAGACTGAATAAAAACCCAATTGAAATTGTTAAAAAAATAATCAATTGATACAAATAATTATAAACTGCTTCGCTGAGCGCAACTGGATACGCCTGCAGAGGTCCAACCCTGAACAGTTGGGGCAAAAATGGACACAATATTCAAGCTTGATACAGGTCTGAATTTGGATTGTAATTAAATATTTGACATATTATAGGTTTCTGAATAAATGTAGTCAAAGAACTTGAAATTGGTTATATGAATTGAATTTATATTCAATTAAAGATTTCTTGCTGTTGTGAAATACTTAGTAAATCTGTTGTCAGACTATAAACAAATAAAGTTCAATTACTTCTCAATGTCATATTAGAAATTTATGAAAATCAAAAGGGAGCTTACATCAATAGATATAAACAATTCACCAAAGTTTCATGAGAATTGGTGACAGCATTTTTTTTGGAGTTATTGTCCGAAAACTGGAAAATCAACCCCTTTTTTAATGAATAAAACCCCATAACTCAAAAATGTAAAATGTAAAATTTATAAAATTCTAAACAGAGCTTACATCAATAGATATAAACAATTCACCAAAGTTTCATAAGAACTGCTGAAAGCATTTTTGATTTTTTGTCCGAAAACTGGAAAATCCCCCTTTTTTTATGAATAAAACCCTGTAACTTGGAAACATAAAATCTAAAATATATAAATATCAAAAGGGAGCTCATGTCAATAGATATAAACAATTCACCACAATACTTGCAAGTTGGTGAAAGCATTCTTGAGTTATTTTCCGAAAACTTGAAAATCCCCCTTTTTTTAATGAATAAAACCTCATAACTTGGAAAAGTAAAATCTAAAATTTATAAAAAACGAAAGGGAGCTCATGTCATTAGAAATAAACAATTCACCAAAGTTTTATGCAAATTGGTTAAAGCGTTTTTGAGTTAATGTCCGACATGTTGACGACGGACAGACAGACGAACGGACAGACGGACAACGGTATACCATAATACGTCCCGTAAAAGGGCGTATAAAAAGATATTGTTTTTGGCTTCTTTTTTCTTAAACCTGTAGGGTCAGAATGCCCTAACAATCCCCCTACGTTCTTTTTACCGTTTTAAACCTTGTGGTACAATTTCATAGCAATCCTGAGACTAATATTCAAGTAATTGTCCACAAACCATAAAATTCTTGTTTTTTTACCCCTTTTCGGCCTTTAATTTCTAATCGGTTTAGGCCACGACCCTCAACATTCTTTTTGGTATAGAACCTTGTGGTAAAATTTCACAGAGATCCATACACTAATACATAAGTTGTTGTCCTGAAATAAGAAAAAAATGCTTGTTTTTGGCTCCTAATTCCTAACAGCAATGACAATAAACCCCAAAATCAAAATAAACCTTCCTTGTGTAGTATATATATATATGGAACCTTTTTGGCTTGTGCTACAATTTCAATTTCATAGAGATCCTGTAAACCAAAATGTATAGGATGACAAATGTCTTCGGATGACAATTTGATACGCCACAGACATCGCCATGACATAATTATGATAATATGAACGCAAAAAAATTTGTATATAGATGTAAGAAAGTTAAACTTACGCTCATTATATCCATCTAAGCTGATTGACTTAAAAAGTGTACCAAAACTGCAGGTAAAAGTTGAGTTCCAATCAGCTTCTGTAAGATTTCTCAGCATGATGGAATTCTTATGTTCAGACTGCTCCATCATTGTTATATCCCTGTTTCCGACAATATGATTATTGTGTGTAAGTACTATTTTATTTTGACCTCCTATCCATTGCTTGTTCCCCTTGCATTCCTCGTTGCATTTCAACATACATTCCTTGCTGCATTTCGACATGCATTCAATGTTGCATGAACATTCACATTCCAGTATCAAATTGGCCCAAGCTTTGACAGATTTGATATTAAAACATCTTTCATCTAAAATCAAAATATGTAAAAAATGTGGATAGTGTCCACATGTGGACACAGATGATGCCCCCGCTTGCACATCATATAGTTATAAAGGGACATAACTGAAGAACGGTAAAAGTGATGCTACCCAAATTTGAACTCGATCTGAGTTTTGTGGTAATTAGCATTGTGTGTAAGTCTCATAACATTTGGTTGAGGCTAACTTAAGTAGAGAACATAAACTAAAAATTCAGCAATTTTTCTATTTGTAAACACGCATAACTCTAGAAAGGTTGTGTATAAGTTTTATAACATTTGGTTGAGACAAACTAAAGTTAGAGAACGGAAACGAAAAATTCAGCAATTTTTATGTTTATATAGAGCGGACACGATCTTTACCATAGGACATGGAGTTGTAAACTAAAACCAAAGTTTTTGACCTAGGAAGTTGTTCATACATTATGACACACCCTCTGGTGTTGGTTAATATACATGTCAAGTATAAACTTTGAAATCCTAGCGGTTCTCTAGATATAGAGCGGACACAATTTGTTAAGGATGGACGGATGAACAGACAAACAGACAGACGGACGGACAGACTGGTCACTATAGGGCGTCCGCCATTCGGCAGGGCCCTAATAAGCATTGTGTATAAGTTTCATAACATTTGGTTGAGCCAAACTTAAGTTAGAGAACGGAAACGAAAAATTTAGCAATTTTTCCATTTGTAAAGGAGCATAACTCTAGAACGGTAAAAGTGACGCCACCAAAACTCAATCTTGATCTGTATTTAGTGGTAATAAGCATTGTGTATAAGTTTCATAACATTTGGTTGAGGCAAACTAAAGTTAGAGATGGGAAACCAACTTTGGGACGGACGGACGGACAGACAAGGGTAAAACTTAATGCCCCCTCCGCTACGGCGGGGGCATAAAAAACAAAAGTAGTATTACTTTTAGAAATAAGAAGATGTGGTATAATTGCCATCCAAGTCAAAATATTTAATTTTAGTTGAAATCAAACAAAGTTTAGTTTTTGACCCTCAAACATTAGCATGAACTAATTTGAAAAAGGGCCCAAAATAAAAAAATCAAAATGCACAATAAGATTCAGCATATCATACAGCCGCAATAATTCAGTTGTTGGTGAAATCAAACAAATATTAATTTTGGACTCTTTTGACCTAAATGTAGACCAATTTTGAAATGGGACTCAATATCGAAAAAAGTAATACAAGGTTAGAACCCCCAAACATTAAAGACTTAAAATTGATCCCATTGAAATTGATAAAAAGATTTGTATTTATTTTCAATTGAGGATTTCTTGCTATTGCAGAATACTGTACTACTGCGCAATACTGTGCAATTGAAGATTTCTTGCTATTGCACAAAACTTTGTTGTTGCGCAATACTGTGCTAATGGGCAACAGAAGATTTCTTGCTATTGTGCAATACTGTGCAATTGACAATGTTTAGTTTTTGACCCTCAAACATTAGCATGAACTAATTTGAAAACAGGGCCCAAAATAAAAAAATCAAAATGCACAATAAGATTCAGCATATCATACAGCCGCAATAATTCAGTTGTTGGTGAAATCAAACAAATATTAATTTTGGACTCTTTTGACCTAAATGTAGACCAATTTTGAAATGGGACTCAATATCGAAAAAAGTAATACAAGGTTAGAACCCCCAAACATTAAAGACTTAAAATTGATCCCATTGAAATTGATAAAAAGATTTGTATCTATTTTCAATTGAAGATTTCTTGCTATTGCAGAATACTGTACTACTGCGCAATACTGTGCAATTGAAGATTTCTTGCTATTGCACAAAACTTTGTTGTTGCGCAATACTGTGCTAATGGGCAACAGAAGATTTCTTGCTATTGTGCAATACTGTGCAATTGAAGATTTCTTGTTATTGCCCAATACTGTGCTACTGTGCATTATACATGTACTGTGCTATTGCACAAAACTGTGCTATTATACAATACTGTGCTGTTGCGTAATACTGTGCTGTTGCGCAATACTGTGCTATTGCGAAGATTTCTTCTTGAAGCTTTCCAAAAATTTAAAATTTCAAAAATTTTGAAGAAAAAAATATGAACCTCCTCTCCAAAAAAAATCGGAAAAAAAGCCCCCAAATTTTTTGAACCCCCTCCCTTTGAGTAATTACCCCCTAAATTCAATCCCATCAAACCCTTTGTGGTATAGAACTTGTAGCACAATTTTTTTTAGAGAGATCCATACACTTAAACAAAACCTGAAAAATGCTTGTTTTTTGCCCTTTTTTCGCCCCATATTCCTGAACTTTTGGGGCAATTATCCCAGAACTCAATCCAAGCCTTTCCTTTGTGATATGTAACCTTGTGGTATAATTGTAGAGTGATCCATACACTTAAACACAAGTCCGGAAACAACAAAAATGCTTGTTTTTGGTCCTTAATTCCTAAACTGTTAATATCATAAACCCAAAAATCTATCCCAACCTTCCATTTGTGGTATTGAACTTTCTGGTAAAGTTTCATAGAGATCCATTCACTTAAACTAAAGTTATTTTCTGGAAATCAAATGTGTTATACGTACGAATTTTTTTGGGGCACTTTTATGAAAATAAGATGTGGCATGATTGTCAATAAGACAACTCTCCACCAGAGACCAAATGACCTAGATGGTAATCATACAGCCTTCAACAGTATCACAAAGCAAGCTATAAAAGGTCCCCAAATAAAAAATGAGAATAAACTGTTGACATAGAGATGTGTCTCGCCTGTCATCACAAAATTCAGAAAAAGACAATCTGATGGACAGCAACATTACTTATTAATTCAAAGTCTATGGACCTAGTGGACTGGGCATCAAAATGGTCGACAAACTGAGATGTACATACAGTAATGAAACTTTTTAGAAAATATTGTTGTCTATTGTAAGTAGTTACTATCAATTTAACTGAAGTAGATTCTCCACATAGAAAATTAATAATTAATTCAAAGTCAATGGACCATGGTGATGCCCTTGGGGGCAGGACCTTAAAATATTTGTCAAACTGATATGTACTGATACATGTTTGTAGTTAGGAAACGACCATTTAACTTAAAGGGGGGTTATGTTTTTTCCTAAAAAAATATTCTGAATACAGATTTTCCCCATACCTTATAGCGTTAAATTTTGAAAACAATAATTTGATTGATAGCGTTGAAAAACTAAATATAAAGATGATGATTGGCTACTTAACGTCTAGCAGCAAATTAATATGCATTTTCATATTAATGTAATGTGAATATTAACACTGCTTTGTACTTGACCAAAAAGATGAGCTCGATTTTTAACATGCTAGTTCACAAGGTAACAGTCCACAAGATTTGTAGGTAGTTGAAGAATAATAAAGCCTTACGTGTGGGTTTATATGAACATCAAGATTGTTTTTTTTCGCATGATTTTAGGCCATTTTTCTGTTTGACAGTCTGTATTTCTCCAATAGATCAAGACATTATCGTAGTGTTTGACTCTCAAACTTTTCAGTTCAGTTTTATCATGTTTATCATGTGTTTATGGAAAAATTAGGTGAAATGCTTTTTTGAACCTCTTGATAGATAAATGTCTATAGTTTGAGACAAGGTACCACTCTAATGGATTGAAATTCTTCTTTGGACCAAATTTTGGGAACATTTTCACCCTTCTTTTATGCAATATTTTATAACAAATAAATGCAGAATATTTCCATGGTTACACCAAAAAGAGATTATATTTCACCATTTTAACTATTGAAATTTAGAATTTTTCAGTATACGGATATGGATAGTAAACTGCACATTGCTAGAAAACAAAGAAATATCGATGTCAACGTCATATACGTTAATAAAGTAATACAAATAGACAGGAAATACTAAAATAAATTTAAAAAACATTGATTAACAAAATTGTAATCTGCTCACCGAGTCCATGTGATATACACATGATATACATGTTTCCTAAAACTTGAAAATCGAAAGTCCATCAGGTGCAGCTTATAACCAAATCGGAAGTCCGAGCGAAAATATGACAGTTCCTGGACCTAGGAGAAAGGACCACCGCTAATTTGAACACCTGTCTTGACATGGGCAAAAAATATCTCCGGAATCTAAGGATGTAATTTTTATGAAAAGTAAGTGAGTTTTTATATGAAATTTATATCGTTTTCCTGACCTGATCCTCCAAAGTGAAAGTAGGTTATTCATCAAAGGTACCTTCTTCTTTTTTCACATGGGGTTTGTGTGGATAGTAAAAAAGGTATTGTAATCGACTAGTAATGGTTTGTTGAGACTTGTTATATGTCTATACATTGTAGAAAATTGTAAATATAGAAAAAAATTCGTAAGGGCTCCGCCGAACCCAGTGTCTCGCCTACTTTTAGAGTTAATCGCAGGCTCAACAAAATTGAGGAAAAAAATTAATAAAAATATTCCTCACTATACTATCTTTTGATTGTAAGTAGCTTCTGTCCAAGTTTGGTAAAAATCCAGGATAATTTATGAATCTAATAAATGTTTTAAAAACTTAAACTGCAGAATGTATGTAATGTTGACTGGAAGAAAAACTAAGTCCATTTATAAGTAAAATATGGAACTAGAGGCTCTAAAGAGCCTGTGTCGCTCACCTTGGTATATGTGCATATTAAACAAAGGACAAAGATGGATTCATGACAAAATTGTGTTTTGGTGATGGTGATGTGTTTGTAGATCTTACTTTACTGAACATTCTTGCTGCTTACAATTATCTCTATCTATAATGAACTTGGCCCAGTAGTTACAGTGGAAAATATTTTGTAAAAATTTACAAAAATTTACAAAATTTATGAAAAAATTGTAAAAAATTGACTATAAAGGGCAATAACTGATTAAGGGGTCAATTGACAATTTTGGTCATGTTGACTTATTTGTAGATCTTACTTTGCTGAACATTATTGCTGTTTACAGTTTATCTCTATCTATAATAATATTCAAGATAATAACCAAAAGCTGCAAAATTTTCTTAAAATTACCAATTCAGGGGCAGCAACCCAACAACGTGCTGCCTGATTGGTCTGAAATTTTCAGGGCAGATAGATCTTGACCTGATAATCAGTTTTACCCTTTGTAAGATTTACTCTAAATGCTTTGGTTTCAGAGATATAAGCCAAAATCTACATTTTACCCCTATGTTCTATTTTTAGCCATGTTGGCCATCTTGGTTCGTGAGCGGGGTCATCGGACACATTTTTTAAACTATATACCATAATGATGATTGTGTAAAAGTTTGGTTAAATTTGTCTTAGTAGTTTCAGAGGAGAAGATTTTTGTAAAAGATTACAAAAATTTACGAAAAATGGTTAAAAATTGACTATAAAGGGCAATAACTCCTTAAGGGGTCAACTGACCATTTTGGTCAAGTTGACTTAATTGTAGATCTTACTCTGCTGAACATTATTGCTGTTTACAGTTTATCTCTATCTATAATAATATTCAAGATAATAACCAAAAACGACAAAATTTCCTTAAAATTACCAATTCAGGGGCAGCAACCCAACAACGGGTTGTCAGATTCATCTGAAAATTTCAGGGCAGATAGATCTTGACCTGATAAACAATTTTACCCCATGTCAGATTTGCTTTAAATGCTTTGGTTTCAGAGATATAAGCCAAAATCTACATTTTACCCCTATGTTCTATTTTTAGCCATGGCGGCCATCTTGGTTGGTTGACCGCATCACCGGACACATTTTTGAAACTAGATACCCCAATGATGATTGTGACCAAGTTTGGTTAAATTTGACCCAGTAGTTTCAGAGGAGAAGATTTTTGTAAAAGTTAACAGACGACGCTGGACGACGACGACGACGGACGCAAAGTGATGAGAAAAGCTCACTTGGCCGTTCGGGCAAGGTGAGCTAAAAAATGGAACAAAATTTTATCAAAATTTCCTTCTAGATACTAGCTTTTGATCATAAACAAGCTTCTGTCCAAGTGTGGTACAAATCCAGGATAGTTTAAGAAAGTTGTTAAAATTTTAAAAACTTTAACCACAGAGTGAATGTAATGTTAACTGGCAGAAAAACTAAGTCCATTTATAAGTAAAATACGGAAAAAATGGAATTTTTTTTTTACAAAATTTACTTCTGGATACTATCTTATGATCATAAACAAGCTTCTTTCCAAGTTTGGTTGAAATCCAGGATAGTTTAAGAAAGTTATTAAAATTTCAAAAACTTTAACCACAGAGTGAATGTAATGTTTCCTGGCAGAAAAACTAAGTCCACTTATAAGTAAAATTCGGAAAAAATGGAATTTATTTTTTACAAAATTTACTTTTGAATATAATCTTATGATCATAAACAAGCTTCTGTCCAAGTTTGGTAGAAATCCAGGATAGTTTAAGAAAGTTATTAAAATTTCAAAAACTTTAACCACAGAGTGAATATTTGTGGACGCCGCCGACGACAACGACGCCGACGGAATGTAGGATCGCTATGTCTCGCTTTCTCGACAAAAGTCGAAGGCTCGACAAAAACAAGACTTTTTTTTTACAGTGGGGCCCAAAAAAGGGGGGTCCAAAATAGCTGTGTTTTTAATAATATAAATAAAATGCTCTGCTGGGCGCAGCTTGATACAACCGCAGAGGTCGAACCCTGAACAGTTGGGGCAAGTATGGACATAACATTCAAGCTTGATACAGCTCTGAATTTGGATTGTGATTAAATATTTGACACAGCATAGGTTTCTGACACAGAATGAATGTGGTCGAAGAACTTAAAATTTTTTAATTTACCTATTATGGTCCAATATCCAAAATCTAAATACATACACGGTTATATTCAGCATATCAAAGAACCCCAAGAATTCAATTTTTGTTAAAATCAAACTAAGTTTTATTTTGGACCCTTTGGACCTTAATGTAGACCAATTTGAAAACAGGACCAAAAATTAAGAATCTAAATGCACGGTTAGATTCAGCATATCAAAGAACCCCAATATTTCACTTTTTGATGAAATCAAACCATATCATTATTATTTGCTCTTATAAACATGATATATAAATCAAAAATAACCAACTTAAAATGGAAAATAATTATTTGATTGATAGCGTCGAAAAAACAAATAAAAATATTCGCGCTTCGTGCGAAAAAAACCCATAAAAACATAACTTATCTTTCTGGATATTTACACCTTATATAGCCTTTAGGGTCACTAACCATACTTTCGTACGTCGAACAGCTCCACCACCAAAAATATACAACACAAAGAAAATTATAATTCACAACAAAAGATATATATATATATATATATATAAATAAGTAGCACACATGTAGTTAGTGATGATGAAACGGAGCCAAATATGGAGCTGCGTTTTGAAACACTTGGGTAGACTTTACATTGGGATGACGTTTCAAGTTGTTAGTTCAGCGACAACTATTTAATTTTTATAAATAGTTTTTGCTCAACTAACAACTTGAAACATAAATATATAAATATATAAATAATAAATATAAGGGGAAGTGGTATGATCGATTGCTAATACACCTTATCATGCTTATCGCTATTTGTCCGCCATTACTGGACATTACACAGGTTCCCGTAAATTTTGACGTCATAATACAAAATATCTGACGCCACAATGGAAAAGTGATTGTTGTATGACATCAATAGTTCAAGCGGGACAGATTCTCGGGTCAGCCGTGAATAGCGATAAGGTGTATGAGACAACCATCCACCAAAGTTGAAATGACGTGGTAGAAGAAATTAAAGGTACCGTACGACCTTCAATAATGAGAAATACCCTACCGTTAACGGTATAGTCGGAAAAATGGGAAACAATTCAATTGAGAAAACTAACAACCTTAATTCATAACGTCTATTTTAAACTTATTACTACGTGAAATACTCGTGTACAAGTATGCAAATAAAGTTATGAAAACAAATGAGAAATGACTCGATTTTAATCTTAAGAAAGATGTTGGACAGATGTTACTGGTTCTGTATTTCTATTCCATATATGATTTAAAGGAGTTTGTGTTGCCTGAATAAGAAATATTTACTATCTTTCAGCACTAATAACCAAAAAATATGAAAGTGAAAGTGAAAAATGAACTTAAATTCTATATATATCTATTATATGATGTTACGTACAGCAATCACATTTCGACCTTTTTCTGTCATTAAGTTCGTCACGGAAATCTTCTCTTGGCTCGATTTGTCTTTTTCTTCCTTTGGGTTTTGCTAAATCTACGCCAGCCATTTGTAATTCTAATGCAATTAGTTTGTATCAGTGGTTCTGATTGGATGTCAGTAAGCGTACAATTCTCTATCTCCTTGTCTGTAACTAAGGAAGCCGGCATTTTGTATTGACTGTATTGACATGCAATTTTTACAATGATAAGCAAAAAAACTCACATGTTGCACCTAGAAATCTTCTTCTTACCAAATTTAATTACATTCTGAAGCGGCCAAGAAGCCAGAAAACGCCCGGTGTTTACGTTTGACGCCGGAAGCATACCTATGACGTCACATAGTTTAGGGGCCAAAGAAGATAACATCGTTTCGCGGAATTTTCTTTAATGAGAATTTTACACTGAGAAAAAGATTGAAAATGAATAGACCACTTGCACATTAAGTGGCGTTTCGCTTTCAAATCTGCAAAATATATCGACCGTAAATAGGTGGGGCAAAATACGTCACAGTTTTTGCTTGCTTACCATAGCGATTCCGCAAAACAAATTGTTTCATTCTACTTTTCTATTACAATCACGATGTTATCTTTTAAATCATTGACAATTTCAAAGATTCAGCTGTATTTACGAGATAGAGGAATAGTGGCAAATGGTTATAAACAGAGAGATTTGGCCAGTTTAGCTGAGGCGGTGGAAAATTGAAGATTCCGTATGATCCCAATTTTCTAGCAGACGACGTCGACTCTACCCTACAAGATCGCCTGAGAAGAGCCGGTTGTAGTTTTTCAGACCCGTTTACCTTAGAAGGGTAATTAAGATAATTTTCCATTCATTTCTATGGCTTTTACCCTCCTCTGCATACTTATTTAAACCGGTTTTTGACCGTTTTTTACTAAGGGGGTCCCAACGCGTGGCTATCCACGTAGAATATGTATCCTACCGTAGTCTATAATCGGTCATAACGTTGGTTCGTTCGGATTTTGTTATTGTACTTATCATACGGGAAAACTCCGCATTGACGTCACTACGCTAATACCAGCGTATAAAATTAGTGCAGAATACATTTTTTCTACACTTCTAAATAAAATAATATTTCTAAAGATATGTTTTCATTATTATTCTTAAGGCGAAGTGTACGTAATTAACTACTTCACAGAATTTTTTTAAATTTTACATGTGGATTCTGCTTGTAAAAATACACCAGACAATAAAATAAAAAAAAGGGGTAACCGTTTTCGTTTTTCAAATACAAGCTGTTGAAATTAACAGCATGATACGCCAAAAATACAAAGGATATATAGGGAAAATCATAAAAATCGGCAGATATTTTTACTTTATTAAGATTTTCTAATTCGTTGGTCCACAGAATTTTTTTAAAAATCGATATGCGATTCAAAGATGAACGAAGAACCCATTGGTGCAAAGAAAGTCCTTAGCAACCGTGCTAGTTTTCAAGCTATATCCTGTTAAAGTTTGATTTTTAGCGGAAAGAATAAAAACATTCGGCGACGTTATTGATGTCTACTGTAACGTCATCACAATTTCTACTCTATAACGCTATTATACCGTACAGTGTTGTAACAAAATCGTGAGTGTGTATAACCCATTTTCCTAATTATTGCAAATGCTCAAGCGTAATCAATTGATAAGGAAATAAACTAACTGTTTTTAAGGATAATTCTGCTGCCAAAAAAAAAAAACAAATTGGCAAATAAATATACTGCAAGTGAAAGAAAGTTACTGTATAGACTTTAACTCCATCTTTTTTTAATTAGACAGGGTTCCACATCTTTTTTGAAATGCATGTATTTATAGCTGACTATGGGCGTTGATCATTGTTGAAGGCCGTACGGTTACCTATAGTTGTTAATTTCTGTGTCATTTGAACTCTTGTGGAGAGTTGTCTCATTAGCAATCATACCACATCTTCTTTTTTTTTTTATAGTGTATTGTTTTAATAATTATGAATCAAATATCAAGTTTGAAATTGTCCCAGTTACACAGCGTTGACAGAATGATTCTATACGTATTTAAATAATCGGTTATAATATTGGGATCGCGTATACACGTCTTTTTTTAAATCTTATTTCTGCATGTTTGTATTTTAAAAAAGTGAATATAATTTGCTGCATCTTTGCATCCTCACCATTTCCGGCGCTATTCGAGGTATTGCGCACAAAGCCCATTTTATTTGTCAGGTTCACACGCGTGCACGTGACACAACTCTGCAATTTTATTTAAAAAATTTCCTGTCTCGATCGCTTTCCCTTTTCTTTAACTACACGACAAAGCATGATATAATGTTTGCTGGAGATTTTAAGTAAAAAAGGAAATAATTTTTTGTACCATTATTTGTTAAATATCCACATGCAAGACTCCAAAAAATAAGAAAACTGCATCTGCATATTATCTTGAGAATTTTTATGGCTGTAATAAGGTCAAAAGAAGAACCCGCATATGAATTTTAGCAAGGTAAAACAGATTGGAGTTTTAACTTCACGTAGCACAGATCATTCCCAGTGTTAGCCTTAGCATTGTGTATATCGTGTTTAATGCTATAGCATTGTGTATAGTGTAATGCTAAAGCTTTGTGCATAGTGATATGCTATAAATGTACTGGTGTAATGCTATAAGAATGTACCAAGAGCGATGCTATACGAGTTTACCTAGTATAGTGCCATACAAATTGTTCCTGTATATAGTGCAAATTTGAATTGCAGTTTTGTTAATATAATATGAACATAAGGAGATGTGGTATGATTGCAAATGAGACAACTATCTGCCACGTTTAAGGTAGATCGGGTTCCTTTTTCTGAGCGTCCGTTCTGATCATGTTGCAAAAACTTTTTTGTTTTAAAAATATTTTACCAAGTATCATTCAATATACAACAAAATACCTAAAACTTGAAATTTAAAGATTGAACTATCAAGAAATTAAGTGTCGTAAAGTATATTTAAAATATTTGGGGATTTTTTTCAAGAAAATAAGGCATGTGACACCCTATTTTTATTTGATATTTCGGAGTTATTAATGAAAAGCAATTCTCTCATCGACTTTTAGCCAATTCCATCGTTTAATGTTTCTGCAATAAGGAAAATTTAAGTTTCCCCTATATTAACAATATAAAATAACCCAAATTTCGTTAATTTCAATGTGTTATTACGAAAAAACAAGGTCCGTGATCCCCAGTTTTTATATTGAAATTTATATAACATTGACACAGAAGTCTTACAGAAGTTTAAGAAAAATCTATCGTCCAACATTTAGACACCCCAGCTACCTTAAAGGATGTGGATGTAAGCAATTGTTAAAGGCAATCATATATACGGCCTTCAACAATGAGAAAATCCATACCGTATAGTCGGTTATAAAAAGCCCCGACATTGTAGAACTAATTTTCTTCACCCCCTCCCCATTCTTCCCCTACCTCATACTACTGCTGAATGATACACAAAAGCACAACAAAAAAGAAAACAAGTTTCGCTATCCCTTTGAAATCTGAATTTGATAAAGAAAAAAATAACACGTTCTATTTTTATCATACATGTGTAGTTTCAGTTTCAACCATGGTTCTAAATTTAGATTTTACTTTCCCCAAAAATTGCGGACGGAAGAGAAGACACCTGTTTATTTTTTGCACCTTGAAAACTGAGATTTGGATGACATAGATTTTACTTATTCTGAGATAAATGTAATAGTGCTCAATTCTTAGTTTCTGAGAGTGTAATGTTTTGTGGACGGAATCTGATGGGTTTTTTTTTTTTGCTGTTGGCTTTTTCTTCGGCTTATAAATGTTGTACTAGTGGTCGATTACCCCCGTATCTTTTATACTTTTTACCTAAATAATAAAATATAAAACATCATAAAAATTTTCAATTGCATAAAAACGGACATGCCAACGTCTTTCTTGTTCAAAACACAAATTCACATGCAATATAATTATTTGTTACCTACAATTTTACGCTACAGTACAATGTGAAATTCAATAAAAACTATGGTTTTTCAAAAAAATATTGTGGGGGTCAATTCAGGTTTGATTTTAATGAATTTGAAACGAATAGAAGCAGAATTGTCACTGGTTTATTTTTTATTTGGTTATAATTTTGTTGTTTAGGCGTTTTTACCTTCTGTTGAAATAAACACGAGTCGTTTTGTGTACCTGCTCCTGCGTGTTTAACTAAAACAAAAACAGTGGTAATATAGTCATACTAACTCACAATAGGATACTCAGATTTCTGATTAGAGTCATTCTAATAATTTCTTTGAAATTTTGAGATAGCACATGAATACTTGTTTGAATTCATGATAGACCGCACGAAGTTATTTCTCTTTCATGTGCCCATTTTTCCTTTCTTGGAGTAGGGGAGATAACCCGCGTAACTAACGACGCACGTTTTTTATCCTAAATTCCGCTAGAGGCGTGCAATTACGTACACTTCGCCTTAAGTATTGTACAAAAATGCAGATTTTCTAATGGCCATTTCAAACCTGACTTCCGAATGCCTAAAAGCATTTCAGAACTTAAGAAAACCCCTCTTCCCGCCTCCATTGCTTTGTTTACATTCCATTGAGCGTCATCAATCTTAATGGCAAACCAAACAGGCCAAGCAAATCGTATTTTTAAGAATTTCAAAATGGCAAGCACCTTACGTCTTCCGCGATTTTCCCGCGAAAAAAAAACATCCAAATTGAAAGAAAAACTTTGGGAAACAAACGATAATCATGCCATGTTTTTGTTCAGGAATATAGAGTAGGTTAAGAAAAAACAATATACATATATTTTTCATAAAAAAAAAATTTGGTTTAGTATAAAGAGATCGATATTCTGACCAAAAGTAAATATTCTTATAAATTTCCATTGATGTAAACTTTCATGGCTAATAATGAGTTTTCCTATTGAATAATCTCCCAATTTATTGCAAACTATTTCAAAGCAATATCATACAGACAAATAATATAATTGCCTTGTACTAAAAAATCACCTAATTGACAGTAGAGCAATTTGATTGGATATAACAATTCAATGTGTCACGTGGTTTTGAAGCCATTAGAATTTGAATGTAAACAAACCGGGTCAGCTGCTCCCGTATGGAACAACATCGTACATTCAG